TATATATATACACGCTGCACGCTCAACAACAAAGACTCTCATTAGATGAGACGTGCGATGAAGTCTGTCTAACGCCAATAGTGATCAAGATCCCGCCTCCCAGCAYCGACCACTSGGTTTGTGTGTCTGTGTGTGTGCGTCTTCATAGGCAGCACAGAGAACAGAGATCAGACGGAGAAATATAAAGAAACTGCGTTAACAAAATTATTGCCATTAAGCGTCGGCTGTGTTAACGCGATAATAACGCATTAACGTGCCCAGCAGCACTAATATAAAAAGATGGTCGTGCTTCATATCATAGAAACCAGGATTATCTCAGGAATAGATTGTTGTAATCAGATATGCAATAACTCTTGTGGTTCAGAAGTTATCAACACAGAAAGTTGCAACAACAAACAAGAATTTTGCCCGTTATTTGATGTGTCGAGTGTGCTGTCCTCGGTTCTGAACAAAAACACACTGTGACCAGCACCAGTGACAGAACACTCAACATCAAATAACAGGTAAAGTTATATAAATATACCGTGCATATACTTTCTGTACAACCAGCTTCAGACTACTAAAACAATTTGATATATAAATCCAGGATTTACTGTACCTTTGCAGGTCCTGGCCCAGGTTTTCAGACCTGTCCTCTGTCAGAACTTCATACATGTCCTCCTCCTCCAGTCGACGCTTGGAGCCGATCCTGAACAGAGGGTTCAGCCACCTGATGAAGGGATGAAAAACCAGAATAAATGATCAGTTCATACAGCAGATCCATTCTGTAACGGATTGTTAAAACCCCACATTAACATAAAATAATCCAGAACATTCAGCTGTGAGATCTTGAAGAGAACCAGCAGATGGAACAAGTTCATATAAAACAAAATAAGATGTGTTTATGAATCTGTATATGTGTTTCAAGCAGGTGTAATAAAAACTATTTAAAAAGTACTGAATGTTCTGTTCGACACAGATTTATATATTTGTAAAAATAGGTGCCTTGAGATACACAAACCTAAAGWAAAGGGAGGGAGCTTTTATAAATGTCTATAACCTGTGTGTAAACTCCTAAAACTGAAGCAGGTGTGTCCAGTCCTGGTCCTGCAGGATTGTGGTCCTGCAAGATTGTGGTCCTGCAGGACCACAATCCAGCGGGTTTACCTGGTTTTCTGCGTCAGCCAATCTAAACTGAGTGAACAGATGATTTAAAGGAGTTCTACAGAATCTGAGGACATCCTGAAGTCATTTAAGTCATTCTGTCTACTGTACAGCACTTTGGTTGGCCTTGTGCTGGTTCTTGTGCTTTATAAATAAAAGTGGAATGGTACGGTAAGTAGGGATGCATGATATATCGGCATTAACATTGGTATCAGCCAACATTGGTCATTTTTTTAGAATATCATATTGGTCCGATATGTAAAGCTGGGCCAATATTAACGTCCAATATTGATTTCCCACTTTTTAGATTTGTATTTCTGTTTTGTGAGGGGAAATGGTTGGTCGAGTGGTATCTGTTTGATCATGATGGTGATATTGACACTGTGCTGCCAGGAATAACTGAAGTAGAGAGCCATGTCAGAGGTCTGGTTGTTTATTTACAGTTTTAAATAAAAGACCCACGTGTGATTGTATGTATTTATATATATACGGTAATTTGTGTGTTTGTGTAACATTAGTAAATATTGGTTATCGACCATAGCAAAAATGATTATATCGAATATCAGCTGAAATTTTCACATTGGTGCATCCCTACATTTAAGTTATTTGACGTCATGCTTGATGACTCCCTCACCGTTAAGACTCATATTGATTGATACAGTTTCTCATGCTTCTCTGAGGTTTGGTACTGTAAAACCTTGACCCAATCATTGTGAACTGTACACCCGAGTGGGATGGCTTTCTTTGAGAAACTGGTACACTTTTATTTATAAAGCCAGTCTGTTACTATCCTACATCTATGACTTAATCATACAGAGAAATAATTCTTACTTTTCTCTTGCTCTCTGTTCCATTCCTCCACACAGATTTGGGAAAAGGGGCTTTTGTTTACTCGACTACATCTACAGGGAACATGTTGCAAAAAGACTAAAGATTAATTKGTTTTCACCATCAGTGCCACTGTTTGGGCCAGTGTGTTCACTGTTTTCAAAATGTGGAGTCTGAGTTGACTGCTGCATCAAAGCAACCAACAAAAACAGCAACAGCTTAAAATCACGTTTTGTGGGCCAGACGCCGAGCAGTTGATAGTTTAGTTTAGTTTAGTTTAGTTTAGTTTAGTTAAACAATCACTGCTGTTTTGTGGGTCAGAAGCTAAATAGTTAAGTTAACCTAGTTTAAAAGCTGAAAAGTTTGGTTAAGTAAATCATTTGGTTAGCTAGGTAATAATTGAAAAAAACAATTCTGCTCTTTTGTGGGTCAGACACTGAATGAAGGATTTTAATATGAGCCAGCACTACAACACATTGCACAAAGCTAAAGGATAGAGGTTTACTGAAGCCACAAACACATTAACAACAGAGACTTTTTACCAGAACCAGAACCAGAACCAGGCAGGAGTCTGAACTCAAGGTGTTTTATGTTGTTACACTTCAACTCGCTAAAATAGGTGTTTGTTTTTTGTTTGCTTCCAACATTTTGTATTTGTATTTATTTAACAAGAGTACAACAGTTATACAAGAAATATATTAAGTTACTGCACTGTATGTTGGTTTACTAAACACACACATACACACACGTGTGTGTATGTGTGTGTTTTGTATATACACATAAATACACATCTTCAAAATGGAAGTTTTATTACATTTGGGTAATAAATATTACAGAGCTATGTGGCCCTACTGTCAACAAAGAATTGTGGCCCCTCCATCAAGTTGCCCACAACTCAGTTAATAAGTTAATTAGTTAGTAATTAAATAATCTGTCGTTTTGTGGGTCCGATGTGAATAGTTGTTAGTTTTGTTTAGTTAGTTACTAGTTTAGGAAACACTTGTGCCTAAAAAAGTTGTGTAGTTTAGTTATTAATTTAATTATTTAACAGTTTAAGGATGACTGCTGTTGGTTGGATGCTGAATAATGAAGTTAATCCAAAGTTACCTAAAGATAATATTTTAATTTAACTAGTTAAAAGTTCACAAAACWGTTTTGTGGACCAGAAGCTGTTTAGATGAAGTCAATAGTTTAGTTTACTTAGTTATATTAAGAACCATAGTTGTAGAAAAATAAAAGCAACATACTATAGTTTTACTGTACTGAACTTACTATACCCTCACCTGTTGTACCTGTATGACATCAGCACCCTAATTTAAAACACCTGATGGAAGTTTGTTCATGTTTCAAACACAAACTCTTCTTAGTAGTTCTTACTAACGGAGTCATTATACCAATGAGCATCACTATCTGTTTATTATCTTTAATTTTAATATTAAATATAGTCTCTTAAATCAATACAAGCCCAGTTTACACAGTCTCTTAAAGGAATATATAGATCGAGCAGACGGTTTTCTGTCAACATTTAAACTCCCCGCGGCTAAAGCTAGCAGCTCAACCTACCAGAAAAAGATCTTCGACACCAGGTTCGCCGTTGCCGCCGGGTTGGTTTTGGCATCCTTGCTGACTTTTTCCATTACTGCCGACCGGAGCTCACACAGTAACGTCCTTGAGAATTACTCCTGCTCCAGCTGCTCCCGGCTAAGTGTCCTTACTTTCTGAGCCACACATGGTACAGTAGAGTTCCCTCTCTCTGTTGCATAAGTTTGCGTTCACTCCAGCTAACAGTAAGAAAAAAAAAAAAAAAA